CATTTATTATTATATTATATATATATATATATATATATACATTAATATGTTGATATGTTTGTATGTATTGTTATGTGTGTCGGTACTCTTTATGTTAATAGTTCACACCGAGGTCAAATTTGTGTTTCGACTCGATCGATATTCGAGTATGGTATGATGTAGAGAATATATAGAGTTACGCTGAAGTGTACTATGTCAAATACCCAGGATTTCATCGAATACGAGGTGCAATCCAAAATTTCGATTTTTTTTAGGAATTCTATAGTTGCATAATCCGGTACCTTTCTCAAGATTATTGTTTGGAATATATCTGTTTCCATAGACGACGCTTTTCATACGCCAATCCGGGGTACATAGTGTATGTTTTAATGCTAACTCGGGTTTAATTTGCAAGTGCGATATGGCGAGAACTGCGCACACATGCGGTGTTAGTGAGCAGAGATTGTGGGACCAGAGCCCTTCATGCTTATCACGTTGAGAGCCCTTTATGCTTACTACGGAGAGAAGTCTCTGCAGATCACATTGTAGCGAGCGGAAAGACAGAGGCTTACACCGTACAACGATTATGCATATCTCTTAGTGTGAGTGCTTGCAATGGGACTGTTGCAATACGCATGATTGCATTCGGGCTGAATTTTACTCTCATCGTCAAATACTTTTTTCAATTTCGGGCTGCGACCTCTAAATTGTCTTTCCCATTCCAAGTTTCGTGGAATTGTACTCTCAAACTATGCGATATCTAAATTCTGTTAGCCTCAATACACATAAAAGGTCTAACTATCCTTGCAACTTGGCAATGGCCAGTAAACTCGAAACATCTTACACCGCGAAGTTCGCTCTCCACAATCGTCACCCAGCTATGTGGTAGAAGCTATTTTCTTAACGACCGTTGTTGTTGAATACTCACGATCCTTCCATGGTAGCGTGGCACACTATAACTATTACGGGCACATTCATGTGCTTGCTGCTGCTTATCCGTTTCACAATACGATTGCAGGTTCCCCGGCTGTGAGTACAAAAAAAGGGAACTGATTCATAAAACCGAGGAGCATATCTTCCGAATTCATCTGAAGAAGGACATCGTCTCAATCAGAAAGCAGAGCACTTATCGGTATGTTTCTTTTCAATGCGAGTCTGGCTGCTGTGTGGTGCACGCGATGATCGATAACAGTACTTGCGTTCATAGACATAGATGACATCGAAAGTAGGGCCTTGTTTCAACCAGACAATAGAGCACTTCTCTGTATGGTTCTCAATGGGCGTGTGTGGATGGTGTCTTCTCGCTGCTATGTAGTGCACTCATCGATCGGTCGCAATACGATAGTTGTAACAACTATAGTGTTGCCGACTAATTCATCGAAGTTAGTCGGTACTTGTTTTGCCTACGGGAAACGGTCATGGCTGCTATGTCTGTCGTTGCTACTGTTTCATGCTATTTCGATTCAGAATCAGATCTTGCTCATCACTATACAATATTTCTGCACCTAAATAGAAAATCGGGATACTCAGCCACTCCATACCGGCCCAACGTAACCCGGTACCTAAAAAAGGTAAGATAGATTACACTTTAAACGTCAGGAGTACTACTTTGTTATTACTCTGTTACGAATGCTTTCAGATGACACATGATTGTGCCAACAACACTCCCTTCACAGTGTTACGAATGCTTTTTAGGTGGCACACGTGTATAGCAACACTGCCACAGAAGCTGACTGTTCGTGAACAGTTGTATATGCTGAATTCAAATCTCACAGTGCAACTATGTTCAGCGTATATGTTGCCACATAGTGACATTATAGTTGCTGCAACTAGCATCGCATCACGTTTCTATCTAAAGACCTGTTTTACGCTCGATATCTAAAGGTTGCCTGGGTGGATGAAGTGTACGAATCCCATTACATTCGCAATGCCCTGGAAGCTTTGGAGCAGGACACCGCGTATGTTTACCTGTAATAGAGTTGCTGTTTAAATCTATGGACAATATCGCCGTTTTGTGAATATCTTCCGAATTAGTGTGGAGTCGCGGTACTCAGCTCATTCTCACTCTATCTTTGGATTACGTGTACCTTGTATACTACTGCTATTATCATATGGGTAACGCATACGTATCTGTTTCGCTCTTTCACAGTGCTATCAACAAGGAGAATGAAGCCGAGCGCGAGCGTGTGCGTGTTGCAGAACAGGTACCTTTTTGTGTTGTCTAATCACCGTAGTGCTAGCTTGTGCTGTTCACAGCGAACCGCCTGCTGCGCATAGATGTAGTTGTTTCAACAGATATATTGACTAAGATATGGCCGTTAGGCGAAGGTGTTAGGAAAGAGACTATCGCACATGCATGATAGCGGTTGATGTGCACTTTTAACCTTCGTATAAACAATTTTTTCGTATGATCACATTTCAAATAGGAGAAGGCTGAAGTGCAGGTAGCGGCAGCCGTACCACCGATTGCAGCCGTAGAAGAGGAGCAATTTCGAAAGGTATGCAGAGTCTTGAGCTAGTACACTATAGCCTATTTTGCTTTTCTGGTATACTGCCTTTTACGTTTTTATTTTCGTTTGGCGTAATTGCATGTCTAGGACGTTCCGCTCTAATATTTTCTACATGCGGTATGGTAGCGCTGAGGTTCACCCTTCAAATGATTCTTTTTCCACCATGTAGCACCAGCATGCTCTGAAGGTGATGATGAGACAGGTGGCCATTACCCAGGCATACCACAATGGCCTTATCAGTTCATGAATTGTTTCAGCTTGACAAGCTTCAGTCTCTTCGCCCAGCGTTCCGTTAGAAAAATCGTGATCTATAGAGGCTGACCTGTAAGGTTAGATCTATCCCTCATTTGTACACCATGTGTGTTCTTTAGATGAATTATGCATATCGATGCAGCTGCATGCGCGTCGATTATGCTCGCCGTGCGCTTCTATGGCTTCCTCAGAGAATCCACCCAACAAATATCGAGATAGTATCTTTGTGTTGCACCGGCGGTCGCATCACATGTGAGGTATAAGCTGCCCTGGCAAGAGACTATGCAAATATCATGCCTAGCCATGTTTTATATGTTGACGAGTCATGTTTTAGATGTTGATGGCACAGTTATGTATTTTCAGCTTTGACTAGGGAGTTGCGAGTCATATATCATTGCGTCAAGAACAAATGAAGGCCTGCTATATTCGACGAGTTCTCTTATTTACCCTATGTCGGACCTCGTTGTTTTTCCTATTGGAGAGTACAGATTTGGGGCTACACCAGGCAGTTCACTTGATTACTTGTCTGGTCTCAGAATCATAGAGTTGTTATTACTTGTCTGGTCTCAGAACCATAGTTTGTATGCTCTAGAAATCAGCACTTGGGCATTGCTACTGCGTGACTAATTTGACTTCACTATGCGTGTTTGTCTGTCAAAGCTCTCACACCTGCCACTTTCATTCGTACCAAGTACTGAGTATGAGACTATACACTACGCGACAATAAAGCGCCCGGGTTTCAGTATTCTGTGCAAAAGCAATCTAAATGATTATGGAGTAATTGTTTCTACCTTTATACTATGTAGTGGTCGACTAAAATGGCTCGTGCACCACAAGCTTAACCTTTAATAACTTGTATTGTAGCTGAGGGAACACTACTCTGTACGTTAATTTGAATATAAACTTTACAATGGCATACGTATCTGGCTAGATGTTCGATAATCAGCACTTTGAGCATGTTTTATACTATCATAGAAAAGTCGCTATTTACCACATCGGGATCATTAGACCTTCTTTTCGCTGTCCAATCTGTCATCGCAGCCTTCGTAAATCAGAGTAGTGTGTAGCTATCTGTTTCTTGTCGCGTCTTTAGAAAATATTGTTGGTGGTAAATATGTCTGATGAATTTGTCAATCTTAGAGTCTTGTTGCACCAGATAGTACATATTCAGAAATGAGAAATGGTACGACAGTCTGAACAGTGATACATGTGTGTATCTTGGCAGTAGCTGTCTGAGCGGCGAGCACTGGGCACTGCTGACCCTGAGATCCCTTAGGTCAGTTAGGATCCTGAAGACTAAGAGTCCTGACCTTATGGCTGATGCACAACAAAAGGGGGACGACTGATAAAGGAGTTGATATCAGCTGCTGTTATTTGTTTTGTTCCAAATAAATTCCATCAGAACAAACTTCCAACCCAGAGAGCTCTCCAATTTTAAATTTGACAATATCAAATAAGTTATAACTGATATGATACTGATACATATCATACATATGGTGCATGATTGTAAAAATACTGAAGTTTTTACTCTATATTGTTTTGTTTTATAAAAAAACAAAAAAAACCTGCGGCTTCCTGAAAGGCTGAAGGTAATAGGTATGCGCCATTTCAGATATATTTGAGCATAGATCTTACGACGTAATATTAAGCACCAATAAAAATCTCGAAGAGATTGTAAGTGTCGAGTGTCAGGCACTCAGGCTGGCTACATATCAGTCCTGTGATAGTCTACTAAGCATGCCAACACCGCCATCATGTCTGATCATGACCAAACAATACACTTTCACAGTGGGAAACCTTTTTCAAAAAAGGAATCACAAATAGTGAGTGTTCACGGGAACTGAAATGCTACTTAAACGGTGGTGACAAACGCGAGGTACCAAACCTACACCTACTAGTGAGCTGGACAGGCCATATGCTGTACATATCTCCAACAATGCTAGCATTTTGCCGGTTGTCTGCATGCATAGTCTCCGTGAGAGCTCAACATAATATATATGATCAAGCGTGGTACAATGGCTTGTCTGCCACTGCACAGAGTCAGTATGATCACTTGGCAGAGGACATCACACAAAAAAAAACAGAGGATCACTATTCAGGTTTCGGGCCCATCTTCGTACGGGCTGCCTTTCACGCATCCGGCACATATCACAAGCGAACGAACACAAGTGAATTGAATGGAGGCAACTTCCGACACCGAACAGAGATGGAACACAGTTCCAACAACTGTTTGGATACGGCAACTGCCGAGCTCGAGAAACTAGCCTTGAAGAACCAAGTTTCATTTGCCGACACTGTCGCCATCGCTGCGAGTCTCGGCCTGCAGGAGATGTGATTCCCAGAGATCAGCATGATTAGAGTGGTCGGAGGACGTCACGTTATCAAGCAAGACACAGAGGAAGAACTAGGTGCCCATTTGCCAACCACTGGAAGAAACCCAATTAAGAAGTTCCCGGAAAGATACGGCTTTGAGATAGATGAGCTGGTAGCACGAGTTGGTGGGTCGCACAACTTTGGGGCTGCCCACCCGAAGTGTTCTAACTATGTAGGCACATGGAGCAAGGATCCACTGAGATGGGATGTGGATGGCAAAGGCCCTGATTTTTTTGTGGATATGATGAAGAATCATTGGGGATGGTTCTGGGTATCGCAATTTGAGGACGACACTTTGACATACACACCTTCTCACGACCCCACATTTCCTGAAGACAAAGATGTCAGCAGTACCAGTCGCGGTGAGCAGTTTATCAGCGGAATATCTTCACCTGACGCAAAGAAAAGCGGCCCTCAGCCACTCAAAGGAAGCTCAGAGAAACTTCAGGCTCTCCGTGGATGTGCACTACTTACCGAGCCTGTGAATATCAAGGTGCCTGGATGGAGATACACGCACGGTTATGCGGCTACCATCTGACTTCTGGATGCTGAAGCACAAAGACATGAAGCGCCATGCTCTCAATTTTGCAGAGAGTGGCGACAAGTTTGCCAAGGCCTTTGTAGCTGCTTTTCAGAAGATGATTGGGTTGGGATCGGCCAGATGCTCAACCACAGGCACTGTATGTGGAGCATCACAAGTGTGCGAGAAGAAGTTGGACTCAGAGGGATTCTATATTGAAGGTACATGCAAAAGAAATGAAGTCATAGATGGGCCTTTGTGTGACGCTGATAAATGTCCCGAAGTGTGGCGAAATGATGGTGAATGCGATAAACCTTGCAATAACGAAGCATGTAGCTTTGATGAAGGTGATTGTGGCGAGAATGACTGCAATGCCGGCTGCACAGCGGAAATGCGCGGAGACGCCCAGTGTAACGAAGCTTGCAATGTCAAAGCATGTAACTTTGACCACGGTAATTGCGTCGAGGATGATTGTAGCAGAGGTTGTCCAAAGGCATGGGGAAGGTGACTCGGAATGCGACAGGGCGTGTATTAACAGAGCGTGTAAATGGGACAATGGTGACTGTCCGGTGCCTTCTGATAACAACAAAGACTGTGGTACACGGTTTTGGGGTGATTTTAATGATTGTTGCTTGTCCTGGGCTTTCTTTGGGCATTGTGAGAGACTCCCTAAATACATGCTGGCTTCGTGCCCCAATGCGTGTCTTGTAGGCAAACGCTTCGATCCAAAGTTGAAGAAGGATTGGTCTGTCAAATGCCCATCGTTGGCGGCTGATGGCCATTGCGAGGAAAGTCCCGAGTACATGTTGGTAGTGTGCAAGGCCTCGTGCAAACACGCAATCCATTAATACGACCCGATACTGATGGAGTAGACAAGGAGATCGAAGGATCACATAGATTGCCGGATATAATGATATTAACAATTGAAGTACATCCGCGGATACAGCTGATGGAAAATCTTGTCGAAGATAGAAGATCAAGCAAGAGAACTGTCTGAGTAAGTCTTCGAGTAGATAAGGGATGACGTCTTTAAATCACTACAAGTAGTACTGAGAAAGGAGCAATATGGGTATGCAGCGGGAAAAGATACAAGATACCTCAAAAATATTAGTATATTTCAATTTTATAGAACTGGCGGGCATAGCTGGCGAAAGTTGAAATCCATAAATGAATTGCATAATTTTATAAATACATAGATACGCATCAAACGACAGGTTGTTCAGTTTAATATATACCTCTAAACACAAAGAATGCAATAAATAATTCAATACATTTACGCATGTCTGATAGGATGTTCTACATATTATATCACAGACGGAGACCACTTTTTCTATCGATTGGAGGTTACCAAAACTCGAAAGTACATTAGTACATCCGCACAGTCAGTAGGTTCCTCCTACAATTGATATATCGCATGCATGACCAATACCTAGCACAATTGAATTATCATGTTACGTACACATTGATAAGTAGATCAGCTCTACGAGACGATTCCTATATAATTGTCACACATATCCTACTTGTCAGAAGTGTTCAGAGCATAGCACTCGGGCAATGCTGCCAATGAGAACTGTCCGACTGACTGCGACTGTGAATTTTTACACATTATTACATGTGCATGAGTTTATTATATATATAAATATATATATATATATATATATACATATATATATATATATAATAAAATACACACACATATATATATATATACACGCACACACACACAGAGATACACACACACACACACACACACATATATATATATATATATATATATATATATATATATATATATATATAATACACAATTACATATATATATATATATATATATATATATATAAATATACATATATATAAGTTCTACGAGTGGAAAAACATTCATATAAATACATTAATAAACACGAGTGAATTTAAGTACTGCACATACGTAGGAGTGGATTATCATTTATAAAGTACAAAAGCATGTATGAGCGGATTAGCATTTATATGTGTTCATATTAAAATAGTACATAGCCCTCTACATAATACAAAAAGTACTTTGTATGAACTGAGACACTGGAGCCTATTTATTATTTGCATAGGCAGCATAGTTTGTCATTTTTTTTAAATAGAATCATATACAGCAGTATGTACAGTATTTACATAAAAACATAAATATGGAAATATGGAAATATGTGGGTGGATTTCTCCCGCGCTTTTTGTAACCACCAAATAGCTTCTGAATATTTGATAAGAAATGTCCGTAAATACAAGATATTTTAAAAGCAATTCCCACCGCAGCGGCACGGCCCATGTATTACTAAGCAAGATAATCCAAGCTACTTCACAGTATAAACAGAACCGGCAGCCGGCGATCTTGCGTACATACCAATAAGAGTGTAGTGAATACCTAGCTTCGGTACCAGTTGTATGATCTTTTAGTATACTCTAATTTCTATTGCTTGGTGACCGACATCAGCATCTGTAAAATGAGCTTCACCTGAATTACTTAATTTGATTTGCAACTAATAAGCGACGAAATAATCGAAGTCGCTGATGGGATTGGGAGAGATTTCCATTCAAAGCAAAATCAATACTCACCAGAAAGACTGAACGGAGCAAAATATACACAACACAGTAACACACGAAGCCGACTAAATCCAAACCATATCCAGTGAAAATTACACATCAACGTACACACAATGAACAGCGGCTACAATAACGAGAACAGGCCAGTATATCTAACACCCTCACGCGGCAACCATGGTGATACCAAGCGAAGACTCACGGAAAGAGTCAACGTACAAGCAGATGCCATTGCACAACATATGTACGACGTCAAGGCGGCCAGAGGGAGATTCGATGTGTGGGTACAACAGCAGGGAACTAGCATTCAGCGATGCGCAGCAGACCATAGAGATAAGCTAGCACAACAGGAAGGTGTGTGTACGTGTTATGTATACTTGTATCTAGATATATATAGGACTAGTGCGAGGATGTCAGTATTCAAGTATGCATCAGTCGAATGAAGAGTCAAAAGTGCAGATGCACGTCAGGTATAAAAAGACTCGGACAGCATAGCACAGCAGGAGGGATCATGTACAGATTATCGTAATTATAAGTACATCATACACCTACTCAGACAACTTATCATATCATGATAGAGTGTATATATATCATATGCATAGATGGTGTTTGCACATCTGTGCTTGAGCATGCACAATGAAAATACTGTTGCGTAGTCCAATAAGGATGCACCTAGGATATGTGCATACTCAGATAGCTTAGCACAACAAGACGGTGTGTACACAAATCCTGCGTATAGCAGTAAGTATGAAAGCGGATTATGACATAGATGCTTAAAACAAGCAGAACTGACAGATAAGCCTCACAAACATATATACCTACCGATGGAACGACCTACTTATATGCTATGCGTAGCTACAAGTATATGTGCCGGTCATAACGCACTAGTGAATTTGAAAAGGTGCAGTACGACGTACAGAAATATGATGTGTACTCGCAACATGAGTATGATGTGTGAGTACTGATGCGAACCGAAATTGCCACTGTTGCTGATCAAATTTAACCACTGGTCTGACCACTTCAGGTTCATCGAGTATATCTATATCCTACACGCGCCTACATGCCTACCTATATATGCTCAGTGCGTGCCTATGTACGATAATCTTAACTCTAACCACCCAACGGCGGGGTTCATTATCGACATGAACTAGAGAAACCTGTAACCGCATAGAAGCCGCTGTGATGCTACCTTCCAGGCAGAAGTTGCTTCGGACGGTTGCATTAAGGAGCAGTCCATGTATCATATTACACAATCAAATGTCAAGCGTGTGCGTGTCTAGTAGAAAGAGTTTCCAGAGTGGAGTCTCAATATGTATACATCCTGAACTATAAATTGTTGACGGCTGCCACGGGAGCCCCCCACGACTCCCGTGGGAGTGTAGGAGGGTGGTGGTGGGTCCTCCTACACCCCCTAAGATACTGGGGTAGCCATTCCGTAGGGGTGTACAATGTCTGGGTAATTTAGACATCCCCCCCCCCCCTCTTAACCTGAACTCAGTGGGTCTGTAAATAGGAAGAATTTTTTGTTTGTGACGAAGACTCTAGCCGGCTGTGTATCAATTGTTTTTCAAACACGCCTTTTGAGCAATAAATTGCAATCTAATCAATTGCTGCCGATTTTTGTTTCAGATCATGTCTCCGACGCACAAATAGCCTTGGCACGGATACAAAGGCAAAAGGAGGACAATGCTCGAAGTAAGTGATTGGATATCAGTTTTGTCCTTATTACGGGGATGCTTCATAAATGAACAATTCATTCTCAAATCTGCCAAAAGCACTTGGGATCTATGTTGATTTCTTGTTGGCGCTGCAATCACATTTCGGATATCAGAAAGGTTTTATGCGAACAACATGAGGGTATGAATTGCATCAACAATATAATAATAGACGCTCGATGTAAACGTATCCAAACTACTAGGTTAGATGGTGTTGGTGTAGCGCGTTGGCGATTCTCGCAGTGATTGTGATAACAGTCCCATTAAGATGCTATCGGTGGTGGCTGTGTATTTATGTAGATTGGATTTGCGATGACTTCTGTAATCAATAACTACATTTCTTCTTTGATGTCACGCCTTGCTTCTATTTATTTACGCTACCGCCCTTGATGGACGGCGGGAGGTAACACATACACTTATGAATTTGTCATGTTGTCAAGTTCCACCTGTTTGAATTGCTATTTTGGATTGTTCTAGCAGCACTACCCCCATCCGTGCTTTATGCAGTGGGTAGGCATGCACGCCGCGTATACACGGATCTGTGCATGACCGAGTGCGCCGTATTGTAGAGTGATTTTAAGCGGCCAGACTATTAGAGATGTCAAAAGATCAAACTTGTGCATACAGCTGCACGGAAATCCTTGCAGCGAAGGTAAAGCATACGACCGTCCCTTCTTTGCAAATCTGCTGGTCATATGGTGGTTATATGTATTTCACCGAGGGAAAATAAAAGGGGATGGTTCTATTGTATATTTAAAACAAGTCGCTTTGCCTTGAGGATGTATTTTAAATTGAACCGTATTTTGATGTACAGAAACAAAGCAGCGAGAAGCACACGTCGCGCAGATGAAAGCGGAGCAAAAGGAACTCATAAACCGAAAAACACAGTACGAAGGCATGCAATCAGAGCTGGAGAGGGAGATAGATGCAGGGCAACATGCATTGGACGAGAAACGCCAAGGTATGGTATTCATGCTAGTATAATAAGTGCATTTCTCATCACCTAGAAAATCCTGGTGTAATTGTGCATAACGACTTGCTTTGCATGAAGTGCAGGTTGCGTGGCTAGATGGAAGATAGCTGCCTTGTCGTCGTAGTCCTGAAACAACGGTGCTGAATAGCATGATAATCCCACTTTGGAACCTATCCTTGCTTGCGCAAGCGCGATATAATTAATCAGCTAAATTGCGGCGGGTTAAAAACCGATTTTTGTTGTTGTATGGACTAGGCACAACTCACGCTCACTTGCTTGTTAATTAATCAATTCATGGTCTTTTATCTGGCGTTCTCAGTATGTCTCCTTCCAAAGCGAAGAGAAACCTCGCTGGACATGTACGACCACGCGATCTCGAAATACAAACAATGGATGGGACTTTCAATACGCAAGGATGTCGGTAAGTCATCTAACATGGAGATGTATAGTTTTCTGGGGACCCATTAGTTATATACAGGATGCTGTGGTTACTGTAGATGCATAAAATATTTTGCTGTCATGCTAGGTAGTCAGTATCGCGAATTTGTAGCAGATAACGGCAGCCTTCGCTAGATCAGACTAGAGGCGAATTGTCGAATTGTACCCAAATATAGACAAATACTCGCATATATATATATAGCGCGCGTCTTGAAATGTTTCTTTTTTTGTCCACGCACCACAGGTGACGGCAGGCATAGGGGTATATTGGTGACCTTCACACTTATTGACCACCACGATCCTGATCGAGGATTCAACGCTCATCTTTTAATCAATGACAAGAACCAGTTTTTGGGTATGTGTTGGAGTGGCTAAACGTTTTCTGAAGTCTGTTTTTGTAATTTCGAAAATTGGGAAGCCGCGATAGCGGTTTCTATGTTGGATTCATGGCAGCTCATGCACTAGTTCTCGCAATGTACTTCGTACTCAATTCAAATTGACTCATCTGAATCAGAAGATAATATTGTATATACACGTTGGTGTTTATGTCGAGATATGAGAGTTGGTGATTGCAGAATGTGAGCTAGGCAATAACACAGGACCATTTCCCTCAAATCTATATACTCATTGGCTGTTCTCCAGAACGAACGTGCATCGTAGTTGGCAATTGCTATGTTGGATTAACTCCAACGTCATATAAAGTGTGCTTTACGTGTTCTGGTCATGACTTCGTTAGTACTATACGTCGTCAAATGTGTATGCCTATCGTGGCGTTTCGATCGATATACATGCATATACCCGTTTCGCCATCGATTTGCTTGTTTGTACCGATTTTTTGCTTAAAGTGTTCACCCAAGTCTTCCTTGATTTCCCTCATGCTGTATAGCTGGCTCTAGTGAACCCCGGATAGACCTTCAGGCCGCTGTCGATGTGATGAACGAAACAAGTATGTAATTTTATCGTTTCGCCTCTAATTGAAAATTTCAATCAGAATTTGGAGCTGCGTCCTATCAGGCTCAGGCAGATTGGATACCCCACACCCTATCACAATGTTGATTGATTTATTTTATGTTTATTGCAGACGACCTCAGCAAAACAGTACGCCTGATAAGGCAGATGTTTAGATCGACTATTCGAAATTGAACGGTTTCTGCTAGTATGCTCGTTTTCAAGCTTCAGATGTATTTGACAGCTCGCATTGTTTTTAACGTTCTAATCAGAAGTTGGAACGCGTCATGGAATGTTGAACACTGTACATGCCATACGAACTACGTAAAAAATTGCCCATGCAGTATTTATATAAAGCGGATACTCATTGGTAGACAGTATGCTCCTAAAATGGCTGTATGAGTTTGACAGAGGTATAAAGTGTCATTTAGACTTTGCATTGAGAAATGATAGCTGTCTCCCATATACGAAGCATTTGACACATATATACTCTATATTTTTACATCGATTTGTATTTTGTTCTGTACAATGGTGTTTTATATCATCGGGTATTAGAGATGACTATGTACACAATAAAGATGTTTATTCTTAAAGCTATATAAGTGGTAAATTAAATAAGTATGCATGTCTACTATGGCCATGAAATACACGTATTCTTACATGGGCAACCCGTACTCATAGATGGAATAGCTGACAACGGACCGTCGCACTGCAGTAAGTTAGTGGCAAACATCCAAGTGGCCACTGTCACATGGTAGTACATTCGTGTGCCCACAATATCCACCTCGATTATGGAATTACCCGATTGTCGCAGCCAGAGCCCCTTTCCCCCAGGTGCAATTTTAATGGCGGCAAAAGTACTGAAAAAGGACGGGTCTTGAATCGTCAATGTCATAGGGATATCTTCGATGGTCACCGAGCCGTCCTTGACCCCATGCAAAGACAGTTGAGGTACCATGAGATCGCCGATTAGTATAACGGCAGATTCATTCGTTGGAGGTGTTGTGCTGTTTCCCTCATTTTCTAAGGTGTACCAAAATTGATACTGACCAGCTTGCAGTGTACCCTCCAGTGGAACATTGCTGAATGTGAGTGTTTGGTTCATAATAAGCATGTTCGGCACGAGTTGGGCCGTTCCAGTACACGTTGGCGAATTGTCCGTTTCTGTGGCATTCATAGGGCATACGCCCGAGGCTGAGCACGATTCCTGGTAGTTCTGGCCCCAGTAGACGATGGATTGACTATCGATTGTTATGATAGTATTTTCCACTCCACTTTGGGCGACGGCTGACCCAACTGTGATGAACAGCACAGGGACCATGATCGCCACAACAACACATATGACGATGAATAGTGCTATAATTATAAGCTCCCACAAAGGCATACCACCCCAGCAGTACCTTCCGCGATGCTTGAATCGAGGCATTGGTTCTTCCTTTTCAAATCGGTTGTACATTTCTACGTCAGTGGCACTCCTATCACTGGCCTTGAAACTTGCCGTGATAGTGATATCATCGCAAGTCATACTGAAGTCTTTGAGAAGCAAAAGCTACCCATGTACGTGTTTACGAGTACTTGTTTGTGTGGTCATTACTGTTTATCGTGTTGAGCTTTTAAATACAAACAACTCGTATCATATTTAAAATAAAGTACATACTTTACCTTCTAACCAAGTCACCGACAAGCACTGATATATATATATATATATATATATATATATATATATATATATGTGTGTGTGTGTGTGTATAGTTAAGTTAAA